ATTGAGAATGAATCTTCCACTATAACACGGGAAGTTACACCGCCAAGATGCAGTGTCAGGTAAGTATCACTCCCCCCTACTTGCCTGCCCCGCAGCTACCGTGAAGATGGCCTACTGTCGAAAAGCATTGCTAATGAAAACCTGCATCATCTAATATGGAAAGCACGACCAAGCGCCTGGCGGAGGATCACCACCTCCAAATTCCGAAGAAAAAGTCACCTAGGATGGCGAGCAGCGGGAACGCCGATGACCGCGGGGGAAAAATAAAATAAAATTGGTCGTGATTCGCGTGAAGCTCGCTACTCACCGAAATGAGCCAGGTGAGATGAATCTTCCGCTAGAACACGGTAAGATTCATCACTGCTTCACATTCTTCCCTCGTGCAACCAGCAGGTGAGTTCTTCCTCCCTTTGTCAATCCCGGTAACTCTTCTTCCTCTCTCTCCCCTCTCCTTCCAATCTTTGTTCAAAACTACCTGCCCAACCAATCCTTTGTTGAATACGCACGTGCTTTCATGCCTGTTGTATCCAAGACAACACACGCCCGGATGATGGCAATTTCGACCAGTGAGGACTCTGGACAAGACACAAACATGACGGCGATGACTGCGAAGTCAGCAATACAACCCTGATGAGGTAAGCGGCTCCGCCCCACAGTCCCAAGATGGGCAGAAAGAAAATGAATCTACCGCTAGACAGGGAAATATACATTCATAATCTTTTCTCGTTCTTCTACTTGCCCCTGTGCACAGCTCACACTCCCTACAACTCCCGAATGAATGCACCAAACTCGATTTTGACCCCTCTGTCGTGCTCGCAATGCCCGAAACCCCCCAGTTAGCATCTTCTCTCGGCGAATTCGGTCAAGAAACGACCGAGCAATGCCAACTTCCGCTCTCGGCCATGTCCTCCACTCGACGCCATTGCGCAGCACTTTTCTCTTCTAACTCTCGCTCTACTAACCCTCTGTCCAATCTGAATGCAGATTCGATTTCGCCCATGTCTAAACCCCCTATCTATCACTTTACCTCACTCGATTCCGTTAGGAAATGAGTGAGATATGTCTTTCTTAGTCCTTGTTCTTCCCTCTCCTCGTCGTCTTCGTCACCGCTTCCTTCTTCACTCTCCCTCTCACAACTCTTTTTCTTCGACCTCGTTTTTCTCTTCTTCTCCGTTTGTTCTCCAAATCAGCACAGTCCCAATCAGCTTGTAGCTACGACAAGGATTATAAGCAAAAGAAAAACTGTGATTGCCTACCTTTTGTCGGTTCACCACTAGCAACCGAGATGCCTCGGCCCACTCTTCACGCCCTCCCTCTGGCTGTACTCAGTCTGTTCTGTCATCTACATACATTCAGAAAAGAGAAAAAGAGAAAAATAAAAAAATAAAAAAATAAAAAATAAAAAGGCAACTCCCGAAAACAGACTGGAGGGCCTACCCACACTATTATTGTTTCTAAATGTATCTCACCACTATTGTGACCAAATCCAGCCACGCCCCATTTTGCTTAGAAATAGGGGGTGAAGGCCTTGAGCTATCTCCTTCAAGCTGTCCCTTTCGAATCCTGCTCACCCTGAGCGCCTATGAATTCGAACTTGAGTCTGTATTTCAACATCTCATGGGTGTACCAGTTAAGCCAGGCCTTGTGGCTGATTCCGCAGGACTGTTTTTCAACAGTCTGTGGGTGTACCAACTTAGCCGAGGCCCAACGGCTCTTGTCCTACAGGCCTGTTCCCAATAGCCGGCGGCGTACCAGCAGAGATTGGCCCAAGGTGCTGGTCCCACAAGCCTACTTCCAGCAGACCGCGGGTTTCCACTAGTTCACAGGTGTACCAACTGAGCTAGGCCGTGGGGTGTTGGTTTCACAAGTTTGTTCTCATCAGTTCGCGGGTGTACCAGCTGAGCTCTGCTCATGGTGCTGGTCCCACAGGCCTACTTACAGCAGTCCGCCGGTGTACCAGCTAAGTTAAACCTACAGGTGCTAGTCCCACAGATCTGTTCCCAACAGTCTGCGGGTGTACCAGCTATACTAAGCCTGCAGGTGCTGGTCCCACAGACCTGTTTCAACAGTCTGCGGGTGTACCAGCTGAGCTAGGCCCAGCGGCACCGATCCCGCAAGACTGCTCACGCTCAAACTTCTCACAGCAAAACGTGGTTGGCGGATGATGTACCCGCAGGTGCTGGTCCCGCCACTCAGGCTTTTTCCGCCTCGTGGGCTGATCACCCACCGCTCGTATGCACATTGAATCCGGAATCCTCGGACCGCACTTCAAAACGGGCAGGATAGAGGAGTCCCATCCATCCTCTGAACAGGCCCCGGCCTGCCAAGAGCGGCACACGCTTAGGCCCTCGGTCGCCGCGGTGGGCACCCGCGGAGATCTCCACTGCTCCCCACGGTAATACCGTCCTCAGCAGCCCACGCCCGGAATCACTTCCCCGTTCAACCAAAAGGGGGTGACAATGCGGTCGTCGTCCCCCTCCCGCTTCTTGCTCGGCAATTCGAACACTCCCTAACTTTCTTTTTCAAGGTTCTTGTCATCCTCTCTTGCGGTATTCCTTCGTCGTCGGTCCCATAGCCGGTTTCCGGCCCGGTCAACAGTCGGGACCTTAATAAATAAATAAATAAATAAATAAATAAATCAACAAAACAAGAACAGTAGGCTTGAAGAGGACGAGGATCTGGCGACGTCCTCTTAATCTCGCCAGTCGAACCCAGGCTTGGGCCCATTTGACAAAGCCAAGGGGAATAGTCCCTTAAGACCTTCGACCCCTTAGTCTCCGTCGGTAGCGCTCCTTCGCTCTTTAATCGCTCGCTGGCCTCGAACCCCAGACCCGTCGGTTGAAGGTCCAGTACCGTAACCAATAGGGCAAAGCCCAAGCCTGAGTTAGGTAGGCGCGACCCTGCATATGAATAGTTGTAGGACCGAAATTGGTCCTACCTGCACAAACCAGGCCTTCGCCTTGGCCTACCGACCAACCTCCTGGCCGTCAGAAAACGCCGAGACGTCGTCCACGCTTAGGATCGTAGCTACTTGGCATCTTGGTCGTCGGGCGCTCGACATATTTTTCGTCAAACTTTCGACTTTCCCTCATACTAGGTCTGCCAACGCTGCGCCTCTCGACGCGTCGTCCAACTTTAACTTCCCGTGTGTGCGCAAGGTAAGGTTTTTACGCTGTTCATGACGCGTCCTGCTGGAGGCCGAACTAGTTGTGAAGTAAATCTAATCTTTATAAAATAAAAGAAAATATAATCAATAATAAAAATTACAGAGGGGAGAGTAACCGGGCCCTACGACTTTGACGCCATTTCACCAGCCTAGTATTGTCGATCAGTGCAACGCAATAATGCGTGCCCCACATACTCTCCAATTCGGTCGTATTTGACTCGGAGTTTCGCCAAGAGCGAGGCTGTCGAGATAAGTGCCCTGACGGGATTTACTTCATCGGCGCATTTCATTGATCAAGGACGCACCCAGTGCGACCTTTAAAAAGGACGACAAATACCCTTGTAAGGGTGTTTGCTACGACAGCGCGTACTTACTCAAACGGTCCACGACCGTGAGGATGCCGTCGTGCCCGAGGCGATCGCGGGGAAATGGTCCGGTGACATCCAGAAGGTCGTCGAGTTGTGCCCGCAACACACTTAACTCTTCCTCGCTCATTCGGTAGATGCAACCACGCGGAGGGTACAACCCCGTCCTCGAGGATGATCTCGTGGCGGATGGGCCGATCCGGTACTACTCCGTGTGGGCCTTCGAACACGTTGCCGTAGGCGTCGAGAAGCTCGGTGATGCGTGGGTCCGAAGATGAGTCCGTCGATGAAGCGTCATGGGGCGGGACGGCATGGAGAAAACACACCCTCATCTCCTTGATGTCGTCTCTGCTGATGGAAGCTCACATGCTTGCGGCGGACACCACGTGGCAGCTAATCGAAGGGTGAGGAGGAGGCACCGTGCATGGGACTAGTACTCCGTTCCGATCACGAACGTGAACGGTGCGGCGGTAGAAGTTCACCGGGTGATCCTCGCTTCGCAGACATGACATGCCCAAGATCATGTCGAATTTGGTGTCCAAGATATCGAAGGACATCGCCTCGCTTGCATGCGGGGCAAAGTACACGGGGACGTCATCTATGCACCGGTCGATTGACTTGTGTGTGTGACCGTCCGCCAACGTGACTTGCGTAGGTTGGGACTTCCTCCGGACGCGTGGGTCAAGGCCGGCGCGTACCATAAAGCCCTGGCTCATGTAGGTGCGAGATGCTCCGCAATCGATCAAAGCGCTGCAGGTCGCCTCTCCGATTTGAATCCGTACATATAACAATGGTGCGTCGATGTTGTCATACTGTTGTGTCCTGAACCTGCGGTCGATCTTCGCAATGTAATTGTGAAGGTCGACAACCTCTACTCCGGCGTCCAGCAACGGAGTTGGTATTGCAGTGCGTAAGTAATCCCGCAGTTGTGCCATGAGCACGTTGCAATGCGGTTTCGGCAATCGACCGGACCGGGGAAGGGGCATCCATTGGAAGTTCGCAAACGTCAACGGGTCGAGCTCTTCCAGTCTTGACCATATCGTCGAATCCCCAGCTATAGATGGCGGCGAGGCTGCCGACTCGGTTGCTGATGGTAGTGAAACCGTGCATGCAGTAGATTGTTGCACGTGGAGTGGTTGGTCCAACGGTGGGACCAAGTGGACAGCATAGTCCTCGTAAGTGTACCGAGAACTTGCGACATTCGCATCCTCCCCAGATGTGTAGGAGGCCGCTAGCAAGGCGGCCGAATCTGGCGGAGTGAGAGGTGGAGTCGCCTCACCTCCCGCGAAACTCAGTTTCCCGAGTTGATACGAGGCCGAACATCCTCCTTGCCTTGATCCGGGCATTGGGAGGTCTTGTGCTTGGTGCTGTTGCACCAATAGCAGCAGCCGTAGCGGCTGCGCCACTTATATTCCGCCTCGGTCAAGTGAAACTTGACTCATGGAACTGGCTGTCCGTTTCCGGCCGGCGATGCGGTTTTCGCCTTCCCGTTTCCTTGGGACTTGTTGTTGCTTCACGGCTGGACAGCAGCCACCTGATCTCCCTCATGTGACGCTTGGGTGACTGCCGGGTCTTCCACAATGTTGTCCAATTGGACTGCAGCGACATGCTGCGGCCGCGGACCAGTTTTCACCTTCTCCACACAGGTTGGCTGCCATGCTGATTTCTCATGTGCAGCTGCCCTAGTGGTCTTGATGATCTCCCTTGCCTTGTCGATGATTTCAGCGAAGGTTGCGTATTGCTCGCAATCACCAAGTGCAAGGCTCAAGGCGGCACATGACCGGTTGTAGAACTCTCGACGCAGATGCAAAAATGGCAATTCTAGATCGGGCGTTGCCGCGATCTTTTGCCATTCCGTGAGCCAGTCGTGTGTTGCTGTGTTGCCTTGCGTCATAACGAAGAGGCGGTTGATGGCGAGCGCCGGGGCGTCGTCTACGATGAACCGCTTCTTCCATAGGCGTGTTAACTCTTCCCAAGAGATCTTATCTTTCAGATCTGCGACGTCGACGGCGTGGACGGTTGCCAGGTGGCTCAACCAGATCTGGCATCCGCCCTTTGAGTTGAGGAATAGTGCACCGATGTACACGTGCTTGGCGACGAACAGGATCCGAAGTTGCGTCGTAAAGCCCTCCCATGAGAGGACCGGGTCTTGATGCGTATAATCATTGAACTTCTTGATTTGGAATGTCGGCATCTTGTAGTGCTGCGTGGTGTTGCCATCCTTTTTAGGCAGCTGCAGTTGTTGAACCTCGGTCTTGAAGGTGTCCAGCTGGTTGCTGATGGTGGCTGGTGCAGCGAAGGTACTGATGTCCAGGTTGTTCCTCCAACTGGCGGGTAGAGGGTGCACTGCTGGTCTCACCAGCATTCGGTCTTGGTGCAACTTGCTGCAAGTCCTGTACACGGGAATGAAGTGCCCGTGTAGCATCCTCGTGCAGATCCTTGTGGCATTGCCCGTCAAAGAATCACCAGCTCGGACTGCAGGTGGTTACAAGTGTAAACCAACCTAGTCACGAGTTTGGCCATGAATTCCTTGTGCTGCTCCTCTGGTGTCGCGTCGTCGTGCTCCTCGGATGGTTCAAAGTGCCAAAACTTGAGCTTTTCGATGCTGGTGGCTTCATGCCGCTGTAGCAGATCCTGGGCTTCCTTKCGGCGTGCCKGGGTATCTGYGTCTGCTTCGGCCTGAAGMCGCTGCTTCTCAGCTGTTGCCGCCGCTTCAGCCTGTAGGCGGACAGCCTCGGCTGCCACCTGGCGCTGTTCCTCAGCCTCGATCAGTGCGAGCTGAGTCTGGAACCGCTGTTTGTACTCGGCAATGGACTCGTTGGCCAGTTGGCCTGGCATGCCCAGAGCTGAGCCCGTCATGGTGGCGGGGCACTGCTGACGTGGCACTGTTGCTGATGTGGCACTGCTGACGCGGCACTGCTGACAAGGCACTGTTGCTGATGTGGCACTGCTGATGTGGCACTGTTGCTGACGTGGCACTGTTGCTGACGTGGCACTGCTCATGTGGCACTGTACCAACCCGGAAATGCATGCACAGGGGTGGGTGGGAGGGAAAACGCAGGTAGGCAACCAACCCAACAATACTTTCCTCCCGGCCCTAATCAACAGATAAATAAATAAAAAAATAAAAAAGAGGACTACTTCCTTTTTTTTTTTTGTATATCTGTCGATATGTTATGGGTGAGGCATGTCAGAAGAGTACTATGAGCGAGATCTAGGCTAGGTTCCGCAAAGTTTCGGCTTTCACCAAAAATGCGATCTTGAATTTTTTTTTGCGAAATAGAGTAGAGGTGCGATTTTCAGAAAAGAACTAAATCCAGTTTCTGAGAATATGGCAACCTCCTAATATGCCTAACGAAATGCTGGTAGGCTTCGCAAGATTTCGGTTTTAAAAAAAAAAAATTGCGAGAGAGAACGGAGATTCGATTTTCAGAAAAGAAGAAATCCGGTTTCCGAGAATATGACCACTTCTATTGTTATCCTAATATGCCTAGAAAACGAAATGTTAACATCAGAAATTTTCAGCTATGTATGCAAATATCAGAGAAACGAAATGCTACTATCAGGAATTTTCAGATAAAACGAAATGAGATTATCAGAAATTTTCAGATATTTGTTGCGTGAAAACGAAATACTAATATCAGAAATTTCAGGTAAAACGAAATGCGATTATCAGAAATTTTCAGATATTTGTTGCGAGAAAAGAAAAAAAAAAATCAGAGATTTGACGAAGTCCTACTTGATTTACTAATGAGTAATCAATAGATCAAGCAAGCTGGCTACTTGATTGAGCGGGTCCTCTGAATGAGAGGTCCGCTCCGATACCAAACTGTTGCATACTGTAACGGTGCAGACCAGAACAAGAACTGACCTCTCTCACAAAGTGCAAGATAGCGTAGCGGAAGACTTAGATACCAATGATCCGAACAATCAATATTGCAATGCAGCCCCGAATGTACATCATCATCATCACTCCATGGTGTGAAGGGGTCTGGCGCTCACACAGGAAGAATGCGCCAGCCCCAACCATACACAGACGAAGAAGAGGGGGGTTAGACGAAGAAGAGGGGAAGATGGGAATGTCGTCAACACCAAGTCTTCGGCACAGGCCCAAATAGTCCCTCGTCAAAATGTCTGAATCCCAATGTTGAGTCTGGATCCAGTGTCGTCAAGTCTCAAGTCACAACTCTCTCTCTCTCTCTCTCTCTCTCTCTCTCTCTCTGTCGTAGTCCGCTGATACTGAGAAGTCAGGTAGTGAGAGGGTGAAGAAGAGATGGTAGACTTAGAAGAGGATGAAGAAGAACTCTCTCTCTCTCAGTCCGGTACTAACCTGTGAAGCTGGCGCCTTGATGCAGGTACATCGAAGATGGAGTTGGAGCTATGGCACCACAGGTAAGTCTCACTGGCCTCCGCCGGCCATCTCTCCCCAACACTACTACTACCACCTACTAGCGCCCAGCGCTGTAGACTACTGCTATGGCTACTAGCGCCCAGCGCTGAAGACTACTGCTAGCGCTAAGCTACTCCTGCAGCGCTCCTCCAGAGTGCTGCTGGCAAATCCTGAAGACTACTCCTGCCTTCTGTCCAACTACCTGCCCGTGAAGTGCATGGGAACTCCCTATGTACTACTCGGCCTGCCTCCTGACTGCCTGCAGCTGCAGGGCGGGGCAGTCCAGGAGGCTGCTCTTGCCAATGCTGAAGGGAGCCAGGGGCTGCCGCTGCAGCTCCTGCTGAGGCTGTTCGTGGGAACAGGCCAAAGATAGCCTGTTCCCGAAACCCTGGTTTTGTGCCTGAGTGTTAGGGCAGGTCGATCTTATGAGGGCCCGAAAGTGGCCCTCCGTTTCAGGCTGAAAAGCCCTGTTTTAGGCTGAAATGACATAGGGCGCCCTCGTTTTCAGTCTTTCAGGCTGAAACGACACGGGGCCTGTAAGCCCTTATTTCTAGGCTTTTAGGCTGAGAATGCGGGACGGGCCCTGCAGGCCCGTGTGGCTACGCAGTATGCCACAACTAGGGAAGGTCTGGGGATCGAGTCCTGGCCTGCAATGTTGCGCGAACTGGGTGAAACCCTTTCACTTCCATACTAATGACATGTCAGCAACATGCCATGTCTCGTCAATGTTTCCAGGACGCTGTGATAGAAAGTATGTGTCTTTGCTGCGTGGACCATCCCTGGTGCCATCATCCTCCACATCCTCTCCTAGCTTGTCCCACATGCGGTGTTGGTCATACACCTACGACAACCGCAGACGGATCTCCCTCTTCCTTGCCAGATGAACGACAGACACAGCAGCCCGAGGAGGAAACTAGACTTCTATATGAAGCACCTGCGGAGCGATGTGCTGATAGTTTATCAACACCAGGGCAAGCTGTTGCAGACCAAATCCTGCAGCAGCTGAACGCCCTTGCTTTGGACCGATCCTCACTGTCGACGTCTGCCCATAGAGAAGGAAGGAATACTGAGGAAACCCGAGAAAGATGCTCCTTGCCGCTTTGTGATGCCCTGCCGGAGATTCAACTAGCATGTGGTTTGCAGGCCTTGTGCCGTGAGGATTATGAAGGGATAGTCCATGCAAGTTTTTGCATCCATACGCACGACGACAGTCAGTAATGTACTTATGGACAGCACTCTGACATGTCATGTCCAATTTGTAGATGGGCTGGAACGACAATTTCTCTATAATTGCGGTCGATGTGCCTGTGTTCCTAGCATGTAGGAGCCTCGTAGCCTGTGACGTTTGTCTGCGCCGCGCCATTTGCATGTCATACTCTGTCCTGCCCTTCACATGTTTCTTTCTTGCCCTTTACCTCTACCTCCCCCTACCCCACACTCCTATAGAACTCCACCTTCTATCCCTTTCCCTCCACCTCCCCTCCACCCTCTCCTCCACCCTCCCCTTTTGTGCTACTAGCAAATACATACGAATGAGCATCGTTTAGAGAACAGACGATATGAAGATTGGAAGTGAAATGAATGGAAGTATGAAGATGAAGGACACGCAAAGACGAAGTATAAGCTGAAGATCTGAAGTGAAATGAACAGCAGTATGAAGATCTGAAGATAAATGCTTAGGAGCATACATTCCCTTTTACTCAAACTCCTGTTATAACGTGCACACAAGGATGCGGGCAGGTGCTGCACAACCACCATCAACATGGGCAGCCTTGTACGTGTGAGGCATAGAAAAAGAGCTGTTGCCCCGGAGAAACCCCAGCTAAACACAGTTCTAAACACTTCTTTTATGATTCACGTTGCTTGCTAAAATGCGAGGCTCAAGGCCTCAGTAAGCCCTATTGGGCCCTGTTTCAGCAAGAACGGCTGCCCTAAGTGAAGGCGGGCCTGACAAGTGACGAGAGGCCTATATTGGGTCTTCACGCGGCTGGGAAATTCAGGCAGTTGCGCAGCGCCAGTTGGTTGAGTGAACCCAGGCCCTGCCTGCCTTTTTCCAAATGTATCGAGGCAGGCCGTGGGCCAGACACGGGGCATGAACTGAACACAGGCTGCTGGCAGTTGGACACGGGTAACCACCCTAGGCCCTGTGGAAGATTCCCTGGGACAGGGGCTCAGCCACTTGGGGCGTACCGGAAGCTTCCGTGGGGAAGCCCAGGCCAGCCAGGCAGGCCACGACTGGCAGCCTCATTCCATAAAGGAAAGGGGCTGGCTGCTGGCTGGACATTGGGGCACTTGCTGCATGCTGCGCCAGCACTGCTGCGCTATTGGCTCGCAAGTGCCTACGCGCTCACGGGCGAGCAGGGAGGATGCAGACAGCCATAGCCAAGCTGGCCAGCACATAGCTGGATGGGGCGCATGGTTGTCCTTGGGTGCACATGGCATCTGTGTGGGGGATCGAGGTTGTGAGTTAAGCGTGAGACATACCTGGTGCTTGAGGCGAACGACATTGGCCGAGATCTGCTCGTACTTCGGGAAGCTGGTGACCTCACCGGCGGCATTGTAGATAGGCTAGATAGGATCTGCCATTCGCAGTCTGGGCGCTGAGCGCCAGATAGGGAATTGTCACTTGTGAGATTTTGCTATGCTCTTATTTGGTGGAACTCAAGTTGCAATTTTGCTTTTGGTTTGAGGTCAAGACTTCTGGTTTCGTGTGTATGATGCCGCTTGGTTTCTGGAATTCGCTATTGCTCATTTTCCTTGCATTTTGGTATCGGAGTTGTGGTACGTTGCGCTAATCTGGCGCTTGTCTTCTGCTTTTGCGGTGCATGCACACGGTTAGCTGGGTGAGCGGCAGTGGGTAGTGTGCAGTGAGGAGGGCGAAGGCAAGCAGGCGACCCAGGGGGAGAGGGGTATCGCCAGGAAGGCTGGGAGGTGAGATTGGGTGTTTCGCAGTGTGATGAGAACTATCTGATGTGCGATTGATGCTGAGGTGGAACTGCGGTATGATGCTGGTTGTGCCGAGGCAATGATTGGTCATCACAATCGACGTCAGGTCATCTGGTGAGGATATCTGTGGTTGGGGGCAGCTATTTTGAGGTACGTTGCTCTTAACCTTATCTACCCTCTTCGACATTTCTTACTGTGAGGATGTGTGTTGTCTTGAGAGTCCTGTCATGTGAGGAGATCAGTGCGCTCAGCCTTGAGAGTTGGCATTGTACATGTGGAGCATCTGGAAGGAGAGGGCGTTGCCATCTGAAGGGCCTTGGACGAAGCACTGGGTCACGGTCACCATGCCAACCCACCGGGAGTAGAGCACACATGCTTTGCTGCTTCGTCATTTGTTTGCCAGTTGCGCTATAGATAGGTCATGAGGGGCAGGCCAGCCCTACAGGGGAGACGAGAACCAGACGTCTATAAACAAATACCTGCGGGGTACCTTCCATTGGCTGTGATCGTCGTTCTGTTTGCGACGTTGATTGGTTATCATAATCGACTTCAGGTCATCTGGTGAGAATATCTGTGGTTGGGGGCAGCTATTTTGCGGTACTTTGCTCTTAACCTTATCTACCCTCTTCGACACTTCTTACCGTGAGGATGTGTGTTCTGTCTTGAGAGTCCTGTCATGTGAGGAGTTGAGTGCGCTCAACCTTGAGAGTCGACGTTGTTCACGTGAAGCATCTGGAAGGAGAGGGCGTTGCCATCTGAAGGGCCTTGGATGAAGCACTAGGTCACGGTCACCGTGCCAACCCACCGGGAGTAGAGCACGCACGCTTTGCTGCTTTGTCATTTGTCTGCTAGCTGCACTATAGATAGTTTATGAGGGGCTGGCCAACCCTACAGGGGAGATGAGAACAGAACGTCTATAAATAAATACCGACGGGGTACCTTCCATTGGCTGTGATCGTCGTCCTGTTTGCGACGTTAAATAATTCCTGAGGACCTCGGGGGCCGTCCTTAAACTGCCTCTTGATCAGCCAATTGGTCGGTGTAAGGCTCGCTGCATGAGAGGGTAAACATGGTGCAGGGATGGCCAGCTCAACATTGACTTGGGGCACAGGGGTTGGCTGTGTGCACACCTTTAGACACACACGCTATCTGGATGGCTCAGGAACGTTGGCGTCAAGTGACATAAAAAGAACTGAGGGAGGGGTAGATTTCATGTGATCAGTTCGGGAAAAATTCCACTCTGCAAACAGCCATACAAATGATTATATTTCTATTTTGATTAGTTATATGTACAACCATTAACGCATCTGACAGACAATATAGGTAGAACTTTATGATTCTGCTTATTTGCTTTCTGTTCGCGGACTAGTAGACTAAAATAGTTTCGTTTCTAGGAATGTGGACTTACTTGTTGGTCGCAATTGTGTATTCTCTGACAATGTCACTGATTAATTAATTTTATTATTTTAAATCGGTATGAGCACTACGCTGCGGTAGGCAACTGAGTGTGTCCTTGTGCAGACACTGCACAGTGCTGTAGCATATGAGCGACAGGGAGGAGCCTGATTCGGACGATCGGATCTTGCGTTCGTCAAGCCGTAGACTCCCGTTGGTCCACGTTGCTATAGGGGGCCGAGGGAGATCACCTCCTTTTAAGACAGGCTAGGGAAAGGCAGCGTCAGCAGAGGAGGGACAAGGACGCAGAGGGAAGCAGGGCTTTCGCAAGATAGGTAGGTGCTTCAGCGGCCGAAATGGCCACTTCTGGAGAACAGGGCTCTCAAGTGAGTAGTTCGGGGACGCAGCAAAGTTCCCAGGCTAGTAGTTGAGGGGCCGTAGGTGCAACCATCGCACAAACCCAGAGTCAGTCTTGTGGTGTGATGGCTAGCCAACAATTAGTGTTGACCTTTGAGGAGGTCGTTATTCACCGAGTAAGCGCTCACGAAGCACATCTACAGTAGGCATTAGATGAGATACAAGCAGAGAAGGAGAGAAGGATTAGACATAGAGCGAGGATGCAGTGGAGAGAAGCGGACATCAGGTAGTTAGAGGAGATGGACTTTACAAACATGGATGATGATGTAAGAACCGTTAGGACAATGCTGTTAGATGTAGTGGAGATGTAGGACTACCAAACATCACTCTTGCAAGACATTCAGAGGAGTCTGGCCGTGCTGGTCGGGTGAGTTCAGGTTACAACATCACCACCTGGGCTAGGTGCTTGTCCCACGGTACAACCTCCTCCTTTTGTCCCACCGGTAACCGGGGTAGTCCTATCTACGCTCCCTCCGGTATCGGTACAGGCCGCTTCCCACCTTGGTATGCCTTTGATAGGCGGGTTCTCAGCAGGTCATAGTGTACAAGTTCCTGTTCAGACAATGTTTTCCCAACCTTCGTTGCAGACTGCCATATCAGGACAGCCTGCCGTTTCGCAGCCAGCGCAGCAGCAGGTGCGGCAACCTGCACCCCAGGTTCCACAACCTGGAGTTGCGCAGGCACCGGGACAGGGACATTGGGTTCCAAAGACTGCCATCGCATCACCGAAACCCTTCTCAGGAGATAATAAGAAGGGTGAGGACCTCGACACGTGGTTGAGGTCGGGGCCACTCTATGTGAAGTGTAAGTTAACCTTGCCTCATAGGGAAGTGTTGTGGCTGCCTCCTATCTGGAGGGGAGTGCAGCAAGGTGGTTAAGTGAGTACGTGCAGTTATAGGGGTACGGTCATGACTTCCGTGCTTGGGCAGTCACCCAGAAATTGGATGATTTCCTCAAGCTGGTGGAAGAAAGGTGGCATGATCCGCAGGACGTTCAAAAGGCCACCGACGCGATATTGACCTTGAGCTCAAGAAAGTTCAGGTCAGTAAGGGATGCCACAGACGCGGTTGAGCATATGATTTGTGTTCCTGGAGTGCGCTACGACCCCCAGGTCTTACTTAACACTTACCTGAGGTGTCTCCCCATAGAGCTTAGGAATCAGTTGGCAGGTGAGGCGATAATCACGGTTCACAATTTCCCCTCGTTCAATGAGAAGGCCCTTGATCTAGAGGCAAAGATCGGGCATGGGCACCAACCCACTACAGATGGTAGGAAGAAGACACTGCCTCCTAACTGAAAGGCTAAGGGATTATGTTCGTCGACAACGATGGTTCTACCATAGAGTTAGAGGACGACTTGCAGTTGGGAGTAGGTTTAGAATCGGGTAGCGCAGAAGCTTCAGGGGGTGGAGCAGTTGCTGCCTCAATCCAAAAAGGTAAGGCGACTGGTAGATGCCGTGGAGGTTCCCGGTCCAGGAGTCAAGTAGACCCCAATGTTCCCCCATGGGAGAAAGCGGGGAGTATTGAGGACGTGTGGAGAGATTGTTACTCCCTTGCGGTTTGCATTTGCTGTGGCTAATATGGTCATAACAAGTTCAAGTGTCGAAATAGTAACAGAAAAGATCCCGCCTACGATGGGGCAGGCGCCGGTCTCCTCCGCCTCCCAGGGTAGCAATGTTGCTTGCAGTTCTGGCACTGCTTCGGGAAACGTGTCGGGCCAGTAGGAAGTGTAGTTGTTCCTGCTAGGGTCGAGAGGGTGGACACACTCTCACCATCTCGAGAGATGGCCCAAGCTATTGACTTCATCGTCTTCTCGCAAACACATTCCGACCAATCGATCCTCTGTTCGATGAATGTGTTCGAGTCCTTAGAGAAGCTAGAGGAGGAGTGGTCTAGATCGGACCCACTAGCTTCTTGAACGGCCGTGGCTAAAGCTCCTAAGGGTGAGTTGTTTGTCGGCGAGGTAGATATAGGCGGTCATAAGGCTGGGGCCTTCTACGATACTTGTTCAACGAGGAACTTTATCATTCGCGCTTGTGTTGAACGGCTGCACTTACAGGGGCATGTGCAGTGCCGCAGTCCACTTGTGGAGTCTTGTGCCAACAAACAGCGCATGGTAGTCAATGACTAGCTAAAAGACATTGAATGTCATTTCCCGTACGCGGGAGGGGAACTGAGACATAGAGTCTCATTCCTAGTGAGTGATGATCTCCCTATGGATATCTTGTTGGGTATGTACTATCTTTCGGTTGCACAGCCCCAGTTTGACTTGGACCGGAAAGTGGCCAAACACATCTTGCCCGGAGGGGGTACCGCCAGATTACGTAAACATAGAGCTAGTAGTCTGATTGAGTCCTACGGATGCATGTGTGCGGCCGCGTTCTATAATTATTATAAGCAAAATCCGGAGGAGGGTATGCACTTAGTGTATGTCTCTGTAGAGGGCGACCCGATGAAAATGCCTCCAGAGATAGAGGGAGTGGTCGCTAGGTACCCTGATATATTTGAAGAGCCAAAAGGGGTTGTTGAGAGAGAGGTCGTCCACACGATAGAGATTATCCCAGGGTCTAGTATTCCAAAGGGTAGGATCTATAAGATGTCTCCAGTGGAGCTTGATGAGCTTTGGCGGCAACTCAAAAAACTCATAAAGAAGGGTTGGATCCGACTGAGTGTCTCCCCTCTCCTGTCCTATTCGTACCGAAGAAGGGGGGAATATTGAGGATGCATTGACTATAGGGGGCTCAATGCCATTACTGTGAAGAACTTAGAGCCCCTACCTCGCATCGATGACTTGTTGGACCGAGTGCAAGGGTGTCGGTACTTCAGTAAGATAAATCTAAAGTCTGGGTACCATCATATTGCAAGCCGGCCCGAGGATCAACACAAAACTGCTTCTCAGACCAGGTACGGTCTGTACGAGTTTGTGGTGATGCCTTTCGGGCTATGCAATGCTCCTGGCACCTTTCAGCACGCTTTGAATCAGATTTTTCATGACTACTTGGACAAGTTTGTCATCGTGTAGCTCAATGACATACTTATCTTCAGTAGGACTGTAGAGGAGCATGTAGCCCATCTAGACAAAGTCCTCAGTCTCCTTCGGCAGCACCAGTTCAAGATTAATTGGGAGAAGTGCGAGTTTGGCCGCACCCGGATCTTGTACCTGGGTCATGAGATTTCCGCGGAGGGATTGAAGCCTAATGAGGCGAAGGTGGCCAGCATTCGTGACTGGCCGTGTCCTCAGTCTGTGACTAAGATGAGGTCCTTCTTAGGGATGACCGGCTACTACTGCAATTTTGTAAAGAACTATAGCATAGTGGACGCACCTTTGACGAACCTTACCCGCCTTGACAACCCGTGGGAATGCACAGATAGGTGTGAGGCTGCTTTCAGATATCTGAAGCACTTCTTAACACACGATGAGGTCTTGAAACTTCCTGATCCTGAAAAGCCATTTATAGTAACCACGGATGCCAACCAATATGGCATTGGTGCCGCGCTTGCGCAGCAGAAGGGGCAAAGTTGAGGCCAATCGCGTACATGTCCAAAAAGATGCCCTCTTAGAAGTTGGCTAAGTCCACCTATGAGAAGGAACTCTACGCGATCTATAAAGTGCTGACCCATTGGAGGCACTATCTCCTTGGGAGATTCTTCTACGTCAGGACTGATCATCAGACCCCGAGGTGGATGAGGACACAGCCTGTACTCTCCGGTGCTTTGAAACGTTGGATTGAAGTCATAGAACAATATGACTTCGAACCCCGGTACATCAAAGGGGAGTACAACAAAGTTGCTGATGCGCTGTCGCGTAGGCCAGACTTCCGTGGTGCGCTGATCACTGAGTTTGGGCTTGCGGACAATATTACTCAGTCCTTGGTGGAAGCCTATCGTAAGGATCCGTTCATGGCAGAGATCATACGAAGACTCGAGGCGAAGGACAAGGTGACTTCTGACGAGTTTGTGTTGGTCGATGCCCTGCTGTTCCTCGAGAAGGCCGGGAATAAATGTTTGTGTGTGCCAAATAGAGTCTTTGCATAGTTTCTTTCTAGGAGAGTGTCATGACGCCACCAGACATTTTGGGTATAAGAAGACTGCGGCTAACATGTTGCAGCGTTTTTGGTGGCCCACGATGATGAAAGATGCCAAGCTGCATGTCAAGACTTGCCAAGTTTGTCAACGTGACAAGCCTTGGACACAGGCGCATCTTGGGCTACTCAAGCCCCTTCCGGTTCCGGAGGGGCCCGGTGAAAGCCTATCCATGGAGTTCATGGATACGTTGGTCACCAGCAAGAGGTATATCTACGTCATTGTGGATAGGTTTAGTAAGTATGCTAGGTTAGTAGCTATGCCGGAAACAACAAAGACCAAGTAAACCATCGCGTTGTTTAAGGAAAACGGGGTCAGAGACTTTGGCTTGCCTAAGTCTATAGTCAGCGACTGGGATGTTCGATTTACTAGCGAGTTGTGGAAGGCTGCAGTTGCCGAACAAGGAACACAACTGCAGATGACCTCTGGTAATCACCAGAGGCGAATGGACAGGCTGAGCAAATGCACCACGCTGTATGGCACCTATTGAGGCATTACATTAAGCCTAATCAGGTGGACTGGGATGAGAAGCTTGCTCTCATTTCCAGTCTGTACAATAATGCAATTCACAGCGCAACCAGGGTCAGTCCTAACAGCCTGCTACTAACGTTCAACGCTAGATAGACTCCCTCTGGACTTCCTGTTGTCGGAGAACCAGCCCACTGGTGCACCAGGCACTCTAGAATTTGCTTATCGTTATGAGAATCTCATGCAGCAAGCAGTGGATAATATGCATAAAGCGCAGGCGGCAATGATAGAATTTGAGAACAAGCATCGCCGCCCATCTACTTTTCAGGTAGGGGACAGAGTCTGGGTGAAAGCTTCGGAACTGGGGCAGGAGCATGGGATCTCCCGCAAGCTCATGCCACAGTATTTCGGGCCATGGGTGGTTCTAGACATTGTCGGAGATGATCCCTATGGGCCTTCCTATGTTATACGGATCCCCGGTCACCTTCGCACTTACCCTGTCTTCCACGCCTCCAAACTTGCACCTTCCAAGGAAACTGATCAGTTTCCCTCTTGTCGCTCAATGCTGCCCCCAACCATGGATGGAGAGGTCGACATCGACGACATTGTCGACCACAGGGAAATGCCGGTTCCCAGACCAACAGGCAAGGGCCGTCCTACGAAGCCGAGGCTGCGGTATCGCGTTCGGTTCAGACATCACATTGATCCAAAGGAGGACCGGTGGTTTACATGGGAGGAACTGATGCAGACCGCTCCACAGGTTGTCGTTCACAATGAGAAGTTGCTGCAGAAAGGAAAGCGCCAGATTGAGTGAACTTCTCAGAGGATTGTCGAAGTATGGAGGAGGGAATGCAAGGCTCAAGGCCTCGGTAAGCCCTATTGGGCCCTGTTTCAGCAAGAACGGCTGCCCTAAGTGAAGGCGGGCCTGACAAGTGACGAGAGGCCTATTTTGGGTTTTGACGCAGCTGGGAAATTCAGGCAGTTGCGCAGCGCCAGTTGGTTGAGTGAACCCAAGCCCTGCCTGCCTTTTTCCAAATGTATCCAGGCAGGCCCTGGGCCAGACACGGGCCATGAACTGAACACAGGCCGCTGGCATTTGGACATGGGTAACCACCCCAGGCCGTGTGGAAGATTCCATGGGACAGTGGCTCAGCCACTTGGGGCCTATCGGAAGCTTCCGTGGGGAGGCCCAGGCCAGCCAGGCAGCCCATGACTGGCAGCCTCATTCCATAAAGGAAATGGGCTGGCTGTTGGCTGGACATTGGGGCACTTGCTGCATGCTGCGCCAGCGCAGCTGCGCTATTTGCTCGCAAGTGCCTGCACGCTCACGGGCGAGCAGGGAGGATGCAGGCAGCCATAGCCAAGCTGGCCTGCACATAGCTGGATGGGGCGCATGGTGGTCCTCGGGTGCACGTGGCATCTGTGTGGGGGATCGAGGTTGTGAGTTAAGCGTGAGCCATACCTGGTGCTTGAGGCGAACGGCATTGGCCGAGATCTGCGCGTACTTTGGGAAGCTGTTGACCTCACCGGCGGCATTGTAGATAGGCTAGATAGGATCTGCCATTCGTAGTATGTGCGCTGAGCGCCAGATAGGGATTCGACATTGGTTCATTGTTGATTATGATGAGACTATTCCGGCATTGTCACTTGTAAGCTTTTGCTGTGCTCTTATTTGGTGGAACTCAAGTTGCAATTTTGCTTTTGGTTCGAGGTCAAGGCTATCTGGTTTCGTGTGTATGATGCTGCTTGGTTTCTTAGAATTCGCTATTGCTCATTTTCCTTGCCAAAGAGGTGAAATTCTTCAATTGTTTACTGGCTCAACTCTTTCTACTCGTCTGGATGGAATAGGGGCTGTTGTGGTCCAATTAAAAAAAAAACACAGACACATACACAGAGAGGCACACCATCTTCCTGCTGCTCGTCCCAATCATCACAATCAAAAGTCGTATCCTTTTTCGAGGATCTCCGAAGCCGAGTGCTGTTCTGCAACCGGCGTAGGGTGGAAGCCGAGTGCTCTTACCGCATATACCGGTATGAGCACTACTTAGGTTCGTGTGAACTGGTGTGAAACGGTTTTCAGCTGCTAGCAGTAGCGAATGCAGATCCCAGGCTCGATCCCTAGTTCTGACCTTACCTGTGTTCAGTATCGAGTTGACCCCTGAGTGTTTGAACCCGTGACCTGTGTTTTGTTAGTTGTTGTTTGTCTGTCGTAGGACTGTGCAGATGTAGGGATTCGATCTGTAGGTCTGTCGAGTAGGGGTCACAACTCTGTAGAGGTCGTAGCTATAGGTCTACTGAAAGGTCAAGGTCGTAGCTGCTACAGTACCCGAAAGGCCAAGTCCACAGACTTTCGGAAGGTCCCGGAAGTGGCCTTTTGGAGTGGGCTCACGTTTAGGCAAAGGCAAGTGGGCAAGTGGTGGAGCCAACCTCAGTACGTTGGCAGTCGACTGCAGTGAGTCTGCGGTGCAAACTCATGCAGTCAGGGGTACCGGTCCAGTCAGTCCCAGTCCAGTCCAGCAAGTACCATGAGGGACTGTGTGCACCATGGGCCGATGGAAAAGGGCAGACCAGGGAGTTATAGAAGTATAAATCAAGGCAGCGCCCAGTCATTCATTCATTCCTGCGTAAGCCATGCGGAAGTGCTGCCATAGCGACTTGTGCGAGGTGGTCTGCAGTGAGCCCGAGGACGAAGAGGGCCAGAAGGAGCTTAGCCATAGCAATAGTGGTAGCAGC